CCTTGCTGTTCTATTAATTTCAGTGGGGTCTTTAAAACATCAGTGATTGCACAGATTTAAATGTGCTACATTCAAGAAACTTCCTGAAACTCATCAATGGTAAAAGATTTGTAGGACCCACTGCAAACGATTAGCATCAAGACAATCTATTTGTAGTTTAACTAAGATGGTTTCATTGAGATTTGTCTCCTCCCAGGTAGTTATGTAGGAAAGCTGGGATCAAACCTGAATGTCAGTTTTTTGCAATTCTTCCTGAGCCAGCCATATTTTCAATCAAAAGGGTGAAGGGAGCCCAAACCAGAGAGGAGTTAAACTCCCTCCATTGACTTCTTGGTCTCTTCTCAGTCGGGCGTCGCTGGAAAACTTCCAGAGGGAGGAATCCTAACCAGAATCTCGAACCACCTCAGCTGACTCCTTTCAGTGAGGAGCAACGGCTCTACTCGAACCTCCCCCCAGGTCACAGAGCAAAGCTGAACCCAGCCATGCAGAGGAAATTAATTTCAGCCCGTTGTGTTCAGAATCTCACACATTTGGTTATGATCACACATCATGACCGCATGTGAGCGGTGAAACATAAATAAGGCATCAAACAGAGCTTTGGCTCTAGAGAAGGAATAGACTCAAACACCAAGTAAGATTTTTATTTTTTACCAAGCTTTTTTCTGATCTACAAATGTTGGGCACATCTTTGCCAGCAGATGGAACTCTACACATTTCCAGTTGAAGTCGGCTGTTTTCAATGGGAGCACAGTTTCTATAAGCACATTCTCAGGGCTGGATCATTCTTTTAGGAGTCAGTGTGGGTATAACAAAATGACGTCATCTCATTCACTGTGCTGTCGACAACAAGAATGTGAAGCTTTTGCTTTTTTATTGTATTTTAGGCTAATTTGACGCGTTCATGGACGCTGAACAACAAGTGGTGTCCCACAATATTAAACCTGTCAAACCTGACCTACAGTCTGAAGATAGTGCCTTATCACCCAGATAAGTAATCGGATATAATATGAAGTATGCATGATCACTAATTGTGATTATTACGCCAGATGTTTTTTAGGCACGTAACTTGTGCAATTTTTGTGCTATTTCAACTATTCATATTTTATCTCGTCATTATTTTTTCTCGTTGAAAGTGGATGGTACTCATCACATCCTTCAAACCCTTTGTGCTGTTTGCAACTTTTTACTTCTTTTACTGCTGCTCTTTTGAGTATTTTGTTGTTGCTGCTGCTTTTCTCAACTCCTTTCAACTTCTTTCTACCAGTTTCATCTTTTTTGTGCTTCTTCTAACTTTTTAAACTCATGTTAGCATTTTTCTTATCTACCTTTGAACAATTTTTAAGCTACTTTTCTTTTCAGGTTCTGTCTGTTTTAGCTTGTAACTCTTTCAGCCTTTCAGCGTTAACGTTTTTCTTCTTTCAGCTTCTTCTTACTACTTGTCAGATATTGATGTGATTAAAGTACGTTTATTCTGACAATCAGATTTATGCAAAATCGTGAATTAACGAGCATTAGCACTGCATTTTTGCAGTAAATGTTAATTCTCTATTTGCTATTTATTTTGCTAAACAGGCATTTGTCTTTAGTAAGGACATTGCAAAGGATTTGCTGCATATTTATTTGATGATTTACTGTATTCATAATTGCTTCATAATCCTCAGCCTATATATGTACCAGTATAAATTGGATGATTGCCTGAAACTACATCCCTAAATAAAAACTATTTGTGATTAAATTTTACAGGTAACTGTAACTTATATATTAGGCAAATCCTTTAGAGATCATTGATCTCTTTTGCAAGGAAGGTCTGAGACTGAAGGCAGTCTGAACATGCATGTTTTTGGTCTGTGGGAGGAAACCAGTGTATTAGGAGAGAACCCATGCAAACACAAGGAGAACATGCAAGCTGCACAGATAGACCCCAGGTCCAAACCAGGGATTGAACCCAGGACCTTCTTACTGTGAGGCAGTAGTGCTAATCAGTAAGCTGGTGTCCTACTAAATATGTTAATATTGAAACAACACCTAAATGTGGGACTCTGTCTGACTTAAGAGGATGGTGGCCCGATACCAAAGGAGTGCTAAACCCACATTCTTCCTCTGAGTCCAAGGTGTGACCATCAATCAGATTCATTTCTCCAGCATCCCTGAATAGACTTTACTGGTGAGGCTAAGGAGAGTGATGCCCCTACACACCCTCCAGCCCCACTTTTTGAGGGGGTGGACCAGCACCCCTCTTCAAAAAAGGGTCTGCCAATCCAGCGGCACTGCCCCGAATGTCCATGCAATGTTGCAAAGGTGTGTCACCCAAGACAGCCCAGAAGCATCCAGGGTATTGAGGAACTCTGGGAGGGTCTTAGCCACCTCTGGAGCCCTGCTACCACCAAACATTTTAACTACCTCTGCGACCTCAGCCTCACAGACAGACCAACCCCTAGTCTCCCAACTCAGCTCCATGTAAGACATGTTGGTGGGATTGAGAAGGTCCGAGAAGAATTCCTTCCACCGCCCAACGACGTCACTGGTTTAGACCAACGACACCCCATCACTATACACACTGTTGGGAAAGTGCTGCTTTCCCTGCCTCAGCCGTCTGACGGTTTACCAGGATTTTCTCAGAAGCAACCAAGAGTCTCTATTCAAGGTTTTACCAAACTCCTCCCTTTTCTGAGTTTTTGCCTCAGCAACACCCAGGTCTGCAGCCCACTTGACTCTCCAATACCTGTCAGCTGCCTCCGGAGTCCTACAGTCAGGCCTGATAGGAATCCTTAATTTTGACAACCTCCCTAACTCGGAGTGTCCAACAATGATTTCATGGATGGCCACTGTGAGAAGCACTGACAACCGTGCAGTCACATGTCACAGCCACCTTGACAATGGAAGCATGGAACATGGCCCACTCAGACCAATGTCTCCTGCCTCTGCTGGGAAGCAGATAAAGTTCTCTCGGAGGTGTGAGTTGAAGATCTTCCTGATGAGTTCTTCTGCCTTTTGTTCCCAGCAAACCCTCACTACACATTTGGGTCTACTAGGTACGAACAGCATCTTTCCCCATCATCTCATCCAACTCATCAACCACTGGGTGGTGGGTGGTGATCAGGTGATGGCTCAGCTCCACTCTTCACCAGAATGTCCAAAGCATATGGCCGCAGATAAAATGACAACTACAAAGTCAATCATCGATCTATGGCCTGGGGTGTCCTGGTGCCATGCGTGCTTATGTAGTGGACACCCTTGCACAAATCCTTCATTCGTGATGGACAAACTGTGACGAGAACAGAAGTCCAACAACAGACCACTGCTCAGGTTCAGATCAGAGGCCGTTCCGCCCAATCTCGCCCCTTCAGATCACACTGTCGCTACCCAAATGGTAACTGAGGTCACTCAGCAAAACAAAAAACTCTTCAAGATGGAGCACCTGCCAACACCCTCACTAAGAAAGCTGAGTATTTTGAACCATTGTTCAGCACATATAGGCACAAACAACAGTCAGACCCTGTCCTCCCACCTGAAAGAGCAGGGAAGCTACCCTCTCATCTACCAGGGAAACCTCCAACACACAGGCACCAAGCCAGGGCTATAAGTAGACCCACACCAGCCTGGCACCTCTCACCATGGTCAACTCCAGAGTGGAATAAGATCCAGCCTCTCTCAAGAAGAGAGCACATGATATGTGTCGAAGTAAGCTCAACTCTATTAAGCAAAAAAGTTTTAAACAAAAAACTAAGGGGCTTTTTCAAGCCTCAAAAATAATTTGTGCATCCAATGAAACCTGAACTGGTAATGTGTTTCTTAGAGGGGCAAGGTTAAAGAATTCACTAACATTGAAAGTATTATAGGACACAGCATTTTAATTAGGAGGTTTCTAAATTTACCAAAGTCTTGTCTGTCCTTGAACAATGCTACAATCCTCTGCTTAAGCACCGTGACTACTTACATGGTTTAGAGTCCCAACCTTTGAATCTAAATCTGGCCTGGTTGAACTCTTTGTGCTGAACTACAAAAATCTGGTTGTTTTGACTGGAAGGGCTTTAAGATAATTATTGTTTTTTTAGAATGTGTGTGAGAGTTATAATTCAGCATTTACACAATAGTTTTCCAGTATTTTACACTTTTGTATGTTTTTATTTATTTATTTAATTTGTTTGTTTGTTTGTTTTCTAACACTTTTTACATACTTTGTGCTATTTTAGCCATTCATACTGTATATTCTTCAGCTTTTTCAAAAGATTGGCAATATGATCTTTGGCTTTTGTATTTTTTGTACTTTTTTAAATTCTCCTATAGAAATACAAAAAGTTCTCTACAAGTTCTTCAAAAACATTGTTCTCGTCATCTGCATCAACAAACTGGCTTTATTTTGGTTTTCTTGTGCTACTTTTAGCTTTTAGCTTGCCCTTTTTGCTATTTTTAGCTAATATTCAGCTTCCTTTGATTAAAAAAAAACTCAGTTGCAGTCTTTCAGTACTTAGTATTCACTACATCTTTAATAAAAATGCAATTTTCCTAGGGTTTTTTTTGTGCCAGATGTTCATGTTTTCTGTTAAATCCAAGCAACAATCAAACAAACAGAATTGTATACAGTGGTTGATATTTACTAGAGCTTTAAGTAATACTTTTTAAATCCAAACATAACTTGATGGTTCAAAATAATAGTGGCTCTTAATCTTCTTAAAGCAATGTCTCCAATCATTCAGTTTCTGTAGAAATGTATCTCCAGTGACAGCATGTCTTTGTTGCAGGTTCAAGGTGACTGAAATGGAGGAAAGAGGGTTAGTTGACTTCCAGGAGAATTGAGAAGCTCCATTTGTCATGAAGATAAACCCTAAATATACCTCATTTAATCTTCTTAGGGGCCTTGCGGCTGGAGTTAGTCTTTGCCTGCCTGACGGACAGCGCGCACGCTCACCCACACACACACTGAGTCATACAGAGTCAGAGGGCAACCTAATACCTGGCATCCAACAGAGAGCCTGCACTTCTCCAGGGCCACTGCTTTTATGGTTTCAAGCTTGGAATCTGTCTTCGGCCTCGACTGTTTGGCTGAAAGTCTCGACGACATGAGCAGGTCAAGCCTCCTCAACCTCAACAGCCTTGGCAGGATCTGCGGCTCCAGCCAGAGCAGTGAAATGATCGTTCTGGACCGGGTGAAGAGGAAGAACTCTGTGAGGCGCATGTCAATCATAGAGGATGGACAGCTTGCAGAGGTTCTCTACCTCATCCCAAAGCGGTACATGATGGAGCAGCTGCCCTTCATCAACCCAAACGACTACATCCTTTGTGAAAAGTTGGCTGGCATTCCTGCAGAGGTGTCAGGTAATTAATAGTTTGACAACCCGATCTTTCTATTGGTGCATTTTTAATTTGTATTTGATGTTTTCTATTAACAGATAAGACACTGGAAGAATTACAGATTATTTTACAGTATTCTATTGCAACAAAAAAGGCTAAATTCATGAAAATTAGCCTATTTGATAAACATACTGTCACACCTGCATGTTTAAAGTTCCACTCTCCTCTAGTTTAACCAAGCTGGTACATTTAAACTTATGTGAAAACTGTTATTTATTGGGGAGGTCGTGTAAAAACATAGTCCGGGTCTGGAACCAGTCTTGGACTCTGGGCTGGTCTTGGACTTATCCTTACTGAGTAAAATCATGACAAGTAAATTGAAGTTCCAAATATTGGAGTCAAGAAAGTTGTTTTAGCCAAGAGCCTGATGCAGTAAAGTTTATTCCACAAAGAAATGACTCCAAGCCTTCTGAAGGGATCGCTGAAGTTTCAAGGGTTTTTAACACTCATATTCATACACAAAATCTCTGGTGAAACTCTGTGTCCTCTCTGGAAGAATAAAAAGCTTATTTTCCACTGAAATAATGGCATCCCAACCAATCTAAGATTTTATTGGCTGGTATTAGTCCAAGTCCTCCTTTAAGGTGGTGTGTTGTATTGAGTTGATGACATATTCATAGTAATATATTTGTTTACAGAATAACTTGAGTTTGTTCCATGGATGTCTTCATGGAGTCTGTCTGTAGGTCTTGCAGGTCCTGCCAGGCTTGGCCCTGCTTCAAGGATGTTGCTGTATTCTTCCTGGGCATTTCATTGAACCAATGGCAGCTCTTCCTCCTCAACTCAGTCCAAAGTTTTCCCTGTTAATCTCTGTTTTCTCTCACCACCATAAGAGGCATGCAATCCTGTAAATGCCAGTGTGTGTGCTTTGACTGTTTAATTGGTAAATAACTGAATTATCTCATAAACTGCTCAACAAATTTTAAAGAAACTCCCAGAAAAGAATCAGATGTAATCTACAACTGATTTAAGTTTTGTAGTCAACCAGGTCCAAGAACTAATCAACAAATCATCCACCCATCATCTTTACCTGCTTCTTCCTTTCTGGGTCACGGGATCACTGGTGCCCATGTCCAGCAGTCACTGTGCGAGAGGCGGGGGACACCCTGGACAGGTCTCCAGTCCATCACAGGGACACATAGAGACAAACAACCATTCACTTTCTCACTCACACCTAGGAACAGTTTAGTATTACCAATCGGTCAAACAGACATGTTTTTGGTCTGTGGGAGGAAATCGGAGTACCTGGAGAAAACCCATGCATGCACAGAGAGAATATGCAAACTCCACCCAGAATGTTCCCTGGTCAGGATTTAAACCAACAACCCTTTCACTGAGAGGCAACAGCTCTACCAACTGCATCACTGTGCTGCCTTAATTAAAAAAATCTACCTTAGCAAGCACAAATACAGCTTAAACTTACATATATTGAGCTAAAGTTTGGTGTAGTAGTAGCTAAGAATAATCCGCCATGCTAACAGATTGCACAAAATAAAATAAAAAACAGGATGCAAGTTGATTAATGATATGCAATCATTTAAAGAATGCTAGTTTAATTTTTTTAAAGCATTTTGACAATTTCAGTGTATTTATTATTTCCAGTGAGGCAAAATAAAAATAATATGACTGCACCAATTCACACTCACAGTGTTGTACCATGTTATATCAAGTCACACTCACAGTGTTACATCTAAGTTCAGCAATGGTTGAACCCCAGTGTTTCATTTTCTTAACCGAGTCTACAAATATTTGCCAACATTCCTCTTTAATGTTTACATAAGATTAAACTTTGCCAACAGCAGAAAGTTTGAATATAAAATTTACTGGCAATGAGACACAACAATTAATTAATTTATTTTAGTTTTTAGAAAAATCTGAGTCAGTCTGCTGTAACATCATCAGTATTTAACCGAATCATTAAATCAGGTTGGTTTTCAGGGCTTGTGTGAAATTTTTGAAGTTTGAAGCACTAACTACTCATTTCCATAAACCTCATGACAAATTAGCACAAAAGAAACTATTTCAGCAATGCATTCAGAGGTCCTTCTTTTCATCATGGATGAGGTCATGGATCAGGGAACAAGAACTTTTAATGGCGCTCCTACTGACACCCCCCGCACGCACACACCCACCCACACACACGCAACAGGCACTCTTTGTCTTTGGACCTCCCTTTTCTCTTGGAGCAGCCCTGTTGGTTTATTTTCCTCACTCTGATCTGGTGAAGATAAACGTCTCCACCGATGAGCAGAAACCAGCGGTCATGAAACAGAAAGGTAGACATTTATGTATGTGTGTGTGTGTGAGAGAGAGTTTTTTATGTTATATTTGGGGACTTGAAAAGATTTAAACAAAATTTCCAGGTGTCTCTAAACCATTCAGAAGTGGGTGTCCCTTAAGGTGGGTTGTTAAAACATGCGCCCCCAATGTGGACGTAAACGAGTTGTGTGTGTGTGTGTGTGTGAGTGAGCAAATTTCCACACAATTAAGTTTTTCCCATTTAGTTTTTTTTTTACTTTATTCTCATAGTCAGAGAAGTGAGTTTTTTTTTTAACATGGCAAATATTTGGGAGATGTCAAATTGTTTGTGCTTCTCTTTTAATATGTTTTCATGGTGATGCCGAAGTTAAAATATGGTTAGATTGTTTTAAATTCAGAGCAATTACTGGTAAGTTTGTCTGTGCTGTCAGATGCCTTTACACTGTTCTTTCATATCATTTTACAGGGTGATACACAACAAAAAAACTTTATTGTGCTGTAGAATCTGGGAACAAATGACATATGTAACATTA